TATAGACTAGACTATAGACTAGACTATAGACTAGACTATAGACTAGACTATAGACTAGACTATAGACTAGACTATAGACTAGACTATAGACTAGACTATAGACTAGACTATAGACTAGACTAGACTAGACTATAGACTAGACTATAGACTAGACTATAGACTAGACTATAGACTAGACTATAGACTAGACTATAGACTAGACTATAGACTAGACTATAGACTAGACTATAGACTAGACTATAGACTAGACTATAGACTAGACTATAGACTAGACTATAGACTAGACTATAGACTAGACTATAGACTAGACTATAGACTAGACTATAGACTAGACTATAGACTAGACTAGACTATAGACTAGACTATAGACTAGACTATAGACTAGACTATAGACTAGACTATAGACTAGACTAGACTATAGACTAGACTATAGACTAGACTATAGACTAGACTATAGACTAGACTATAGACTAGACTATAGACTAGACTATAGACTAGACTATAGACTAGACTATAGACTAGACTATAGACTAGACTATAGACTAGACTATAGACTAGACTATAGACTAGACTATAGACTAGACTATAGACTAGACTATAGACTAGACTATAGACTAGACTATAGACTAGACTATAGACTAGACTATAGACTAGACTAGACTATAGACTAGACTATAGACTAGACTATAGACTAGACTATAGACTAGACTATAGACTAGACTAGACTAGACTATAGACTAGACTAGACTAGACTATAGACTAGACTAGACTATAGACTAGACTATAGACTAGACTATAGACTAGACTATAGACTAGACTATAGACTAGACTATAGACTAGACTATAGACTAGACTATAGACTAGACTATAGACTAGACTATAGACTAGACTATAGACTAGACTATAGACTAGACTATAGACTAGACTATAGACTAGACTATAGACTAGACTATAGACTAGACTATAGACTAGACTATAGACTAGACTATAGACTAGACTATAGACTAGACTATAGACTAGACTATAGACTAGACTATAGACTAGACTATAGACTAGACTATAGACTAGACTATAGACTAGACTATAGACTAGACTATAGACTAGACTATAGACTAGACTATAGACTAGACTATAGACTAGACTATAGACTAGACTATAGACTAGACTATAGACTAGACTATAGACTAGACTATAGACTAGACTATAGACTAGACTATAGACTAGACTATAGACTAGACTATAGACTAGACTATAGACTAGACTATAGACTAGACTATAGACTAGACTATAGACTAGACTATAGACTAGACTATAGACTAGACTATAGACTAGACTATAGACTAGACTATAGACTAGACTATAGACTAGACTATAGACTAGACTATAGACTAGACTATAGACTAGACTATAGACTAGACTATAGACTAGACTATAGACTAGACTATAGACTAGACTATAGACTAGACTATAGACTAGACTATAGACTAGACTATAGACTAGACTATAGACTAGACTATAGACTAGACTATAGACTAGACTATAGACTAGACTATAGACTAGACTATAGACTAGACTATAGACTAGACTATAGACTAGACTATAGACTAGACTATAGACTAGACTATAGACTAGACTATAGACTAGACTATAGACTAGACTATAGACTAGACTATAGACTAGACTATAGACTAGACTATAGACTAGACTATAGACTAGACTATAGACTAGACTATAGACTAGACTATAGACTAGACTATAGACTAGACTATAGACTAGACTATAGACTAGACTATAGACTAGACTATAGACTAGACTATAGACTAGACTATAGACTAGACTATAGACTAGACTATAGACTAGACTATAGACTAGACTATAGACTAGACTATAGACTAGACTATAGACTAGACTATAGACTAGACTATAGACTAGACTATAGACTAGACTATAGACTAGACTATAGACTAGACTATAGACTAGACTATAGACTAGACTATAGACTAGACTATAGACTAGACTATAGACTAGACTATAGACTAGATAAGACTAGACTATAGACTAGACTATAGACTAGACTATAGACTAGACTATAGACTAGACTATAGACTAGACTATAGACTAGACTATAGACTAGACTATAGACTAGACTATAGACTAGACTATAGACTAGACTATAGACTAGACTATAGACTAGACTATAGACTAGACTATAGACTAGACTATAGACTAGACTATAGACTAGACTATAGACTAGACTATAGACTAGACTATAGACTAGACTATAGACTAGACTATAGACTAGACTATAGACTAGACTATAGACTAGACTATAGACTAGACTATAGACTAGACTATAGACTAGACTATAGACTAGACTATAGACTAGACTATAGACTAGACTATAGACTAGACTATAGACTAGACTATAGACTAGACTACAGACTAGACTATAGACTAGACTATAGACTAGACTATAGACTAGACTATAGACTAGACTATAGACTAGACTATAGACTAGACTATAGACTAGACTATAGACTAGACTATAGACTAGACTAGACTATAGACTAGACTATAGACTAGACTATAGACTAGACTATAGACTAGACTATAGACTAGACTATAGACTAGACTATAGACTAGACTATAGACTAGACTATAGACTAGACTAGACTATAGACTAGACTAGACTATAGACTAGACTATAGACTAGACTATAGACTAGACTATAGACTAGACTATAGACTAGACTATAGACTAGACTATAGACTAGACTATAGACTAGACTATAGACTAGACTATAGACTAGACTATAGACTAGACTATAGACTAGACTATAGACTAGACTATAGACTAGACTATAGACTAGACTAGACTATAGACTAGACTATAGACTAGACTATAGACTAGACTATAGACTAGACTAGACTAGACTAGACTAGACTAGACTAGACTATAGACTAGACTAGACTATAGACTAGACTATAGACTAGACTATAGACTAGACTATAGACTAGACTATAGACTAGACTATAGACTAGACTATAGACTAGACTATAGACTAGACTATAGACTAGACTATAGACTAGACTATAGACTAGACTATAGACTAGACTATAGACTAGACTATAGACTAGACTATAGACTAGACTATAGACTAGACTATAGACTAGACTATAGACTAGACTATAGACTAGACTATAGACTAGACTATAGACTAGACTATAGACTAGACTATAGACTAGACTATAGACTAGACTATAGACTAGACTATAGACTAGACTATAGACTAGACTATAGACTAGACTATAGACTAGACTATAGACTAGACTATAGACTAGACTATAGACTAGACTATAGACTAGACTATAGACTAGACTATAGACTAGACTATAGACTAGACTATAGACTAGACTATAGACTAGACTATAGACTAGACTATAGACTAGACTATAGACTAGACTATAGACTAGACTATAGACTAGACTATAGACTAGACTATAGACTAGACTATAGACTAGACTATAGACTAGACTATAGACTAGACTATAGACTAGACTATAGACTAGACTATAGACTAGACTATAGACTAGACTATAGACTAGACTATAGACTAGACTATAGACTAGACTATAGACTAGACTATAGACTAGACTATAGACTAGACTATAGACTAGACTATAGACTAGACTATAGACTAGACTATAGACTAGACTATAGACTAGACTATAGACTAGACTATAGACTAGACTATAGACTAGACTATAGACTAGACTATAGACTAGACTATAGACTAGACTAGACTAGACTATAGACTAGACTATAGACTAGACTATAGACTAGACTATAGACTAGACTATAGACTAGACTATAGACTAGACTATAGACTAGACTATAGACTAGACTATAGACTAGACTATAGACTAGACTATAGACTAGACTATAGACTAGACTATAGACTAGACTATAGACTAGACTATAGACTAGACTATAGACTAGACTATAGACTAGACTATAGACTAGACTATAGACTAGACTATAGACTAGACTATAGACTAGACTATAGACTAGACTATAGACTAGACTATAGACTAGACTATAGACTAGACTATAGACTAGACTATAGACTAGACTATAGACTAGACTATAGACTAGACTATAGACTAGACTATAGACTAGACTATAGACTAGACTATAGACTAGACTATAGACTAGACTATAGACTAGACTATAGACTAGACTATAGACTAGACTATAGACTAGACTATAGACTAGACTATAGACTAGACTATAGACTAGACTATAGACTAGACTATAGACTAGACTATAGACTAGACTATAGACTAGACTATAGACTAGACTATAGACTAGACTATAGACTAGACTATAGACTAGACTATAGACTAGACTATAGACTAGACTATAGACTAGACTATAGACTAGACTATAGACTAGACTATAGACTAGACTATAGACTAGACTATAGACTAGACTATAGACTAGACTATAGACTAGACTATAGACTAGACTATAGACTAGACTATAGACTAGACTATAGACTAGACTATAGACTAGACTATAGACTAGACTATAGACTAGACTATAGACTAGACTATAGACTAGACTATAGACTAGACTATAGACTAGACTATAGACTAGACTATAGACTAGACTATAGACTAGACTATAGACTGGACTATAGACTAGACTATAGACTGGACTATAGACTAGACTATAGACTATAGACTAGACTATAGTCTATATAAATAGACTATAGACTGATTCAAAAATTCTAAGAAAATATCTACAGGAAACGATAATTCGACCAACTTTTTCTATAAAATGAGAGCACAACGGGCCGGCATATGTATATTTTTCGAATCTAATGTTATTCTACTTTCAACCTAACCTAATGATCGATGACAATCGTTCACTGATCATGAGAAATTAACTTATTTCGGAAAATTTTAAATTATGAAAAAAAATATGCCTCCACTTACCTTCATGCCATAACCATTTTCATCCTTGCGTACGGTCAATGTTAAATATTGGAAATTTTTCAGCGATTCACCAGCAATGGGCGTCGATATCTGAATCTGAGGGCGACGAGAGTTAGCCGACATATTAGCACTATTACGCTGAGCATTACCATTCGAGGCACTTAAACCACCGCCGCCGCCTCCCACACCACTATTACCACTACCACCAGCCATTATATTATTGTTGTTACTCGGATTACTGCTAAAAATACTAACATTATTATTGGTCAAAGGGGAAGTGGGTGGTGGATTAAGAGATTTTCCTTTATTTTGATAGCCCAAAGGAAGTGGTGGCGTCTGTGGTGGTATACCCGATATCGGTGGTGGTTGAAAGTTATTATAGCTCAAGGTACTGGCCAACGAAGGAGAACGTGGTATTTTAGATTTCGAAGCTTTAGAAGAGGATTTCGTTTTGGAATTTTTGGAATTTACAGCAGATGTTTTTTGTTTTGGTGGCGGTAATTCCGGTGGCAAATCCAAATTATTATTGTTATTGATAAAAGCTGCTGATGCTGCTGCTGCAGTTGTTGGTATATGTGTTCCTGTTGTTGTTGCAGCTGATGTGCCAGCAATAATGTTATTATTATTGACAATATTTTGGTTGTCGTTTTGGCTGTTATAGAGTAATGATTGATTATTGGTTGTTGATTCTTCTGGTAAATCTTGAACTTCGTCATATTCATGTTCATCAGTACCAAAATCAATCAATCTGCAAAGAAACGTAAAGATAAAATATTTAATTATTATATAAAATAATTATATTATTAATAACAATAAAATAAACAGAAGATTTTACATTCAGAAGATAAAAATTTAAAGAATTTCAAAAATTCCATATTCCACTCGCTTTTTTACTTTTCGCTTACAAATGCCAATTACCATCTTTGACTTCTGCAAGCTGTCAATAAAGTTGTTTTGTGGTTTTTATTGTGTGTGTGTGTGTATTTCGTACATCATTAATAATAAGACAGAAAACACCACACTCTGTATATGGAGGTTACGTTGCATACAATTCAATATTCCTGACCATACCACCACCAACCAAATAATCACCACATCATCATCAATTCTTCACACCTTTTGAAATGTTTTAATAATTGCTGCACAACAACAAAAAAAGTCATGAATTTATGCATGATTTTGGAAATCTTCATTTGAAATTTTTCAAGGATTTTTGTTGTCATGACAACTGATATCTCTGTTTCTCTGTGGAACGGAAATTGTTTATAAATTGGATGTTCAAATTCTTTTTCGAACTTGAAAGGTTGAGATGTTCAAATTATCTACCAGTTCTAGTTCATTTCAAGTTCATTTCCAGTTCTGTTCTAGTTCAGTTCTAGTTCAGTTCTAGTTCAGTTCTAGTTCAGTTCTAGTTCAGTTCTAGTTCAGTTCTAGTTCAGTTCTAGTTCAGTTCTAGTTCAGTTCTAGTTCAGTTCTAGTTCTGTTCTAGTTCAGTTCTAGTTCAGTTCTAGTTCAGTTCTAGTTCAGTTCTAGTTCAGTTCTAGTTCAGTTCTAGTTCAGTTCTAGTTCAGTTCTAGTTCAGTTCTAGTTCAGTTCTAGTTCAGTTCTAGTTCAGTTCTAGTTCAGTTCTAGTTCAGTTCTAGTTCAGTTCTAGTTCAGTTCTAGTTCAGTTCTAGTTCAGTTCTAGTTCAGTTCTAGTTCAGTTCTAGTTCAGTTCTAGTTCAGTTCTAGTTCAGTTCTAGTTCAGTTCTAGTTCAGTTCTAGTTCAGTTCTAGTTCAGTTCTAGTCAGTTCTAGTTCAGTTCTAGTTCAGTTCTAGTTCAGTTCTAGTTCAGTTCTAGTTCAGTTCTAGTTCAGTTCTAGTTCAGTTCTAGTTCAGTTCTAGTTCAGTTCTAGTTCAGTTCTAGTTCAGTTCTAGTTCAGTTCTAGTTCAGTTCTAGTTCAGTTCTAGTTCAGTTCTAGTTCAGTTCTAGTTCAGTTCTAGTTCAGTTCTAGTTCAGTTCTAGTTCAGTTCTAGTTCAGTTCTAGTTCAGTTCTAGTTCAGTTCTAGTTCAGTTCTAGTTCAGTTCTAGTTCAGTTCTAGTTCAGTTCTAGTTCAGTTCTAGTTCAGTTCTAGTTCAGTTCTAGTTCAGTTCTAGTTCAGTTCAGTTCTAGTTCAGTTCTAGTTCAGTTCTAGTTCAGTTCTAGTTCTAGTTCAGTTCTAGTTCAGTTCTAGTTCAGTTCTAGTTCAGTTCTAGTTCAGTTCTAGTTCAGTTCTAGTTCAGTTCTAGTTCAGTTCTAGTTCAGTTCTAGTTCAGTTCTAGTTCAGTTCTAGTTCAGTTCTAGTTCAGTTCTAGTTCAGTTCTAGTTCAGTTCTAGTTCAGTTCTAGTTCAGTTGTAGTTCAGTTGTAGTTCAGTTCTAGTTCAGTTCTAGTTCAGTTCTAGTTCAGTTCTAGTTCAGTTCTAGTTCAGTTCTAGTTCAGTTCTAGTTCAGTTGTAGTTCAGTTGTAGTTCAGTTGTAGTTCAGTTCTAGTTCAGTTCTAGTTCAGTTCTAGTTCAGTTCTAGTTCAGTTCTAGTTCAGTTCTAGTTCAGTTCTAGTTCAGTTCTAGTTCTGTTCGAGTTCTGTTCGAGTTCTGTTCTAGTTCTGTTCTAGTTCAGTTCTAGTTCAGTTCTAGTTCAGTTTTTTTTTTTTTTTTTTAGAATTTTATTAAAGGAATTTATTCATAAAATTACATTTCATTTAAGTTTAGGACCCGCGAAGCCATTGAGTGGCTTGTCTGCAGGTTAGAAACTAATTTAAATAATATAATATTACAATAAAAAATTAACATTTTAGTTCATTGCGAATGCATATAAAACTTTTTGATTTCTCTTTTTTTTTTTCCTTATATATAGAATTTATATTTAATATATTTGTTGGCAACTGGTTTAAAATGTTTGGCAATTGTACATCTATCCTTGCTTTCCCATAGTTATTCCTAGTTCTAGTTCAGTTCTAGTTCAGTTCTAGTTTAGTTCTAGTTCAGTTCTAGTTCAGTTCTAGTTCAGTTCTAGTTCAGTTCTAGTTCAGTTCTAGTTCAGTTCTAGTTCAGTTCTAGTTCAGTTCTAGTTCAGTTCTAGTTCAGTTCTAGTTCAGTTCTAGTTCAGTTCTACTTCAGTTCTAGTTCATTTCTAATTCAGTTCTAGTTTAGTTCCAGTTCAGTACTAGTTCATGGAAGAATCGATATGGTTACTAAACTATAACGGAATTGGAATCAAACATTTAACTGAATAAAACAAGGTATACAAACGATTCCCATTTGTATTTAAAAATAAAATGATTTCATTCGTTTACCATATTTGGTTTATTACTAGTTTTTGTTTTTTTATTCTAACAATTTAGCTTTATTAAAAAATTTAAATATTCATAACTGCTTTAAACGCTGTCAACAAGTACATCGACGACGGCGACGACGATGTCAAAAAACTTTTGACGCTTGCATGTTTTAATATAATTTCATTATTAAAAGTTTTTTTGTGTTCGTATATCTTTCTTTACACCATGTTCAATAATATACGGACGTGTTTAGAGTAAATAGTTGTGGAACATCATCATATGACTGTTTTTAGGCATTCACTATAATATGGGCAGGGTAAACATTTCAAAATATCTTTTTCCAACTGTTTAGTTGTTGCCAGTAATACAATTAATATTTATAGGTTTCTGATTGTTAAAATAAAATGAAAGTAATGTTACATTCTTTAAAAAAAAAACAATTACTTAAAAAAAGAATAATACTAATTCCGTTAACTGTAGTTTTACTGTTCGATTTGACGTGCCTAATTACATTTTCTAATATGAAGCGTTACTTTTTTTAGATTGTTTTAGGTAAGGTTAAGGTTTGAGGAATTCAAGAATTTCCTCACATTTCTCTCACAATTCAATATTAAACATTTTTATCACTCTTTCCATTCCACGACTGTTCTAGTTCAGTTCTAGTTTAGTTCAGTTCTAGTTCAGTTCTAGTTCAGTTCTAGTTCAGTTCTAGTTCAGTTCTAGTTCAGTTCTAGTTCAGTTCTAGTTTAGTTCTAGTTCAGTTCTAGTTCAGTTCTAGTTCAGTTCTAGTTCAGTTCTAGTTCAGTTCTAGTTCAGTTCTAGTTCAGTTCTAGTTCAGTTCTAGTTCAGTTCTAGTTCAGTTCTAGTTCAGTTCTAGTTCAGTTCTAGTTCAGTTCTAGTTCATTTCTAGTTCAGTTCTAGGTCATTTCTAGTTCAGTTCTAGTTCAGTTCTAGTTCAGTTCTAGTTCAGTTCTAGTTCAGTTCTAGTTCAGTTCTAGTTCTGTTCTAGTTCAGTTCTAGTTCAGTTCTAGTTCAGTTCTAGTTCAGTTCTAGTTCAGTTCTAGTTCGGTTCTAGTTCAGTTCTAGTTCAGTTCTAGTTCAGTTCTAGTTCAGTTCTAGTTCAGTTCTAGTTCAGTTCTAGTTCAGTTCTAGTTCAGTTCTAGTTCAGTTCTAGTTCAGTTCTAGTTCAGTTCTAGTTCAGTTCTAGTTCAGTTCTAGTTCAGTTCTAGTTCAGTTCTAGTTCACATCTAGTTCACTTCTAGTTCACTTCTAGTTCACTTCTAGTTCACTTCTAGTTCACTTCTAGTTCACTTCTAGTTCACTTCTAGTTCACTTCTAGTTCACTTCTAGTTCAGTTCTAGTTCAGATCTAGTCCAGTTCCAAGTTCCTGTCGCTATATTTTCCTAACATTAAAGCCAAATTTGGAATCTTGCAAAAACTTTAAAATTTTAAATTAGTGGGACAATTTTGAATAATTATCTTTAGTTTAAAATTCAGTTCTTCTATTCCCTTCTCAGAAACTGAGTGAAAACAACAATAAATCCCTTTCATTTGTTTGCAAAGACTTAAATTAATGTGACACTTTCATTTTTCATTTAACTGACAGAAGAACTGTAGGAGCTCAGCTCATACATACATTTTTTAAACATAAACGAGTGCAGGCATGTCATTGAGCATGAGTGTAAAATGGTTTTTTAAAAAAATAGTATAATCTTGCAATTACTAACAACAAAGTAGTGGTAAGAAAATATAGGTAACAGAAACAACAACAACAATTCAACAGTCCTAAACATTTATTATTCCTAGAATTCTTATACATTTTGTTGCTATTTTTTTATTTTTCACTCTTTTTATACCCTTCACCTTCGTGAGAAGGGTATATATAAGTTTGTCATTCCGTTTGTAATTTCTATAATATAATTTTCCGACCCTATAAAGTATATATATTCTGGATCCTTATAGATAGCGGAGTCGATTAAGCCATGTCCGCCTGTCTGTCTGTCTGTCTGTTGAAATCAGTTTTTAGAGGACCCCAGATATCGGCGAGATCCGAATCTTCAATAATTCTGTTAGACATGCTTTCGAGAAGATCGCTATTTAAAATCAGCAAAATCGGTCCATAAATGACGGAGATATAAGCAAAAATCCGAGACAACCTCTGAAAATTTCATTAAAAAAGACAATTTTTTCATGCTTTGATTAATAAGCAACAACAATACTGCTTATTCATTGAGTATTTCGTTTCACATGTTTGGATGGCTGTGTGTTGTATTGGCATGTGTATATTGTTTTTGTTTCTTGGTGTATTCAGTTTTGTATGTTTGGATGGCTGTGTGTTTCATTGCCTTGTGTATATTGTTTTTGTTTGTTGGTGTACAGTTTCGTTTGTTGGTTTTACTGCCTTTTGTATTTTGTTTTTTGAGTGTTTATTTCGTTTAGCGTTGTTGTTGTTC